CATTTATTTTATGTGTTTGTTCTTACAGAGTTTTCCTGAATTCTTCTAATTTTTTTTTCTGTATCTCTTTGCTTTCCTCAATCTTTCTGTTAATCTGTTGAAGGTTCAAAAATATCATCTTTTTGAATTCTTTTTCAGTTAGTTCCATTAACTTTTTTTCCTCAGAAACGTTTTCTGTCTGTGCAGCTTGGTCATTTGTTTGAGCCATTCTCTTTTGTTTCCTAGTGTGTACTAAAGTTGTCTTTTGTCTCCTGGGCATTGTGGGGTTGTCACATTTGTAAAAACAAACAGTGCAGTTGGTGGACCCAGAGGGGAGAAGTTTCTGGGTGGCTTCTGCTATTCAAGGAGCTCACGAGGTAATTGTAGAAGGGCTATGACAACAGATTTCCTGTTTACCCAACTCCCTAGATGGAGTTCCTATTGGCCTCTGTGTTATCTGTGTTCAGGACACTCAATCCAGAAGTAGTTCGTGGGCCCTTTGACGTTGCTGGTTTCAGTGTCTGTTAGGACCACAGGGAAGCTGAGGGCAGGGTGACTGGTTATATACTGGTCTGGTGGCTCTGCAGATTTTGTAGATCTGAAGCTGAGTCTATCTTAATCCAGTTACCAAAGTGGCACACTGAAGAAGCACTGCTGGCCCCCAACTCAGGGAATGTACTGGGGGTGGATGTGGGTGGGAGCTGGCCATACCTCTGATTACCAGGGGAGATGGGGGGAAAAGGAGAAATTTCAAGTCGCCTATGCGAATCTGCTTTACCTGGCCTCCCTCAGCTGCCAGAGCTGCTCACAAGATGGTCAAGCTGTGTCTGGCCAGCTGTTTGCCAGTTAGTCTTCCTCTCTCGCTGTCCCTGCATGGCCTCTCCTCCCAGGAACGCTCCACCCACATCTCTAACCTTTCTTCTGAAGTTCAGGGTGTCAGAATTTTCATCTGTGTCTGTTTTATTTTGTGTCACATATTTTTGTCGTACACAGTCCATGCCTAGTCCGCCATCTTGCCGGAAGTCCTTGTTTTCATTTTCTAAGGCTTAAGCCCACACTTGCATGCAAACAATTGATGGTCTGCTCACATTCTACTTCTGCCTTGTTTTGGCTGATGATATCGAGCTCTTCCACTGTCTGTTCACACAGATGTAGTTAATTTGATTCCTGTGTATTCCATCTGGTGAGGTTCATGTGTATAATCGCCTTTTATCTTGTTTAAAAAAGATATTTGCAATGAAGAAGTCATTGGTCTTAAGATCATGTCGGCATCTCCATCATTATTTATATCACAAAGGCCATATTTTCCAACTACTGACCCTTCCTTTCTCTTTATTTCCAGCATTAGCATTCCAGGCACCAGTAGTTATCAATACATATTAATTACATGTTTGATCAATTTCGGACTGAAACAGTTAGCAGAATTCTTTAATTTCATCATCACTGGCTCTAGTGGTTGGTGTGTACATTTCAATAATAGTGGTATTACTTAATCTTCCTTGTAGGCATGTGGATATTAGTCTATCATAGACAGTGTTGTAATTCAAGATAGATTTTGAGATGGTCTTTTTTTTTTTTTTTTTTGAGATGTTCTTTTTGATGATGAATGTGACACCATTCCACTTCAATTTGTCATTTCCAGCATAGTGAATGATGTGATTGTCAGATTCAAAATGACCAACACCAGCTAATTTCAGTTTAGGATATCAATCTTCACGCATTCCATTTCACTTTTGACAACTTCTAATTTTTCTAGAGTCATAATTTGTACATTCCATGTTCCTACTATTAATGGATGTTTGCAGCTGTTTCTCTTTCTTTTGAATTGTGCTCCATCAGCAAATGAATGCCCCCAAAACTTTACTTTGTTTGCATCATCACGGTCAACTCTACTTTGATGAGGCAGCTCTTCCCCAGTTTCACTTTGAGTGCCTTCCAACCTGAGGAGCTTATCATCCGGCACTGTATCTGCTAATGTTCTGCTAGTCTTAAGGTTTTTTCAGTGGCTAACCATTCAGAGTCCTGGTGTGGCGCTGTGGGTTAATGAACTGGACTGCAAAGTCAGTTTGAATCGCAAGGTTGGCGGTTCAAGTTCACTAGCTGCTCCTAGGAAACCCTATACAGGATCACTATGGGTCAGAACTGACTCGAAGGCACTTAACCACCACCACAACAACCATTCAAAAGTAGTCCACCTCTTCTTCTTCCTAGTCTGTGTTAGTCTGGAAACGTAGCTGAATCCTGTCCACCATGGGTGACCATGCTGGTATTTAAAATATCTGAGGTATAGCTTCCAGCATCACAGCAACACACAAGGAACCACAGTGCAACATACTGACAGATACGTGAACACCTATCTGAATTCTAAATAACCTTTTAACATGTGCTGCATCCAGTAATTGGCTCTTTTGTTATAGGTCTGTTTAAGTTTTCTACTTCACTTTGTGTAAATGTAGGTAGGTAGATTGTGTTTTTCTAAAATTATGTCCATTTCCTCTAGATTTTCAAATTTGTTGGAGTAAAACTTTTCATAGTATTCTGTTACTATCCTGTTTATTTCTGTTGGTTCTGTTGTGATGTCACCCACATGGTTTCTTATGCGTGTTGTTTGCATTTTCTCCCTTGTTTCTTTTATTAGATTTGGCAATGGTTTGTTGATTTTATTAATCCTTTAAAAGAACCAGCCTCTTGTCTTCTTGATTCTTTCTGTTTACTATTTCAGTTATTTCTGCTCTACTCTTCATTATTTCTTTTCTTTTATTGACTGTAGGTTTACTTTGCTGGTCTTTTTCTCATTTTTGGAGATGTTGTATTAATGTGTTAATTTTGGTTCTTTCTTTCTTTTGAACAATTAACCCTTATTTACAGGTGAATTCTTTAGACTCTAAAAGTGGACCAGTGTGTCAAATTACTTGGGGTATTTTATTTTATTTTTTTGGTCTCAAAATAATTGTATCTGGGGGGTAAATGGGAGGGAGAGGCAGTAGCCATAAATTTGAACCCGAGACCTGCCGAGAGCAGTGGGTCCCCACTGCCTCTGGGCAGAACATCTTCAAGGTGACCCCTCACCTGGGACATTACTGGGGCTCCCTTCAGAGCTCTCAGTATTCATTTCACTTTGAAGAAGGACTGGGCAGTGTGCAGAAAGCCGATGTGCGCAGTCGCAAATACGAAAGGCGAGAGAAAGACCCACTCGAATTCGTCACGCGCCTTCCTAAAGCAGCTCTGGAGCCTTAAGAACAGCAGTATAATTCTCTCTTAGTCCAACCACCTGTCAGCTGTAAGTGGTCATTATTTCATCATTTTGTAATAAAAGATAATAGAATAACGATTGATATCTGGCGGCTGGTGTTTTAATGTGTCTCTCTGTTATCCTGGGCTGACAGTCTGTGATTACTGTAAGCGTTTTCTGGGTGACACTATGATAATGATTTGTTAATAGGAGGATTATTGCGCGTTTAAATCACGTTCCAGGCAGACCAGCCTTGGCTCCTGTTCCTAGCTATTGCTGTCTTGGGTCGGGGTAGGGGGTCTTTTGTGTTCAACAGGTGGGTGTATGCCATGCCCTGCTCTTGGCCCGAGTATCGGGTTGTGCAGAGAGCCCTGAGTGTGGAGCCACAGCCCAGCATTGCCTCTGAGCTCTTGGTGACGCCTGCCTTCTTCCTATTGATTTGCCAAGTTTCCACCTTCAGTGTCTATGACGTTCTGCAGTTTTAAATACAAGCCACTGAGTTTAATTTAGTGAAATAGAAAAGCTTCAGAGAGGGAAGCTGGTAGCATTCTCAGGCAGGAGTGTGCACACTGGTGATGTGGAGATGGAATTGACTCCCCTGGGCTGTCTTTCCAGATGTCCCCTCTGCCCAGTGACTGGCAGGAAAGCAGAGCCAGAACCATACCATTTCCACATCAACCCCAAGAAACCAGCCGCTGTTGAGTGGACACCAGGCCTTCCCTGTGTGTGTCAGAGTAGAACTGTACTCCATAGGGTTTTCAAGGACGATTCTCCAGGTACCTCTGGGTAGAGCTGAACTCCCAGCCTTTGGGTTAGCAGCCGAGCACGTTAACCATTCGCACCACTCAGGACTGGGGAAGCAGCCACGATCAGTTTGAATATTATCTCCTTGATTAGTCTTCCCCACACTCCTTAATAAAACATTCTGAAGTAGATGTCCATCATAGGAAGGTGGTCTGTTGGGCTCTGAGCTGGGGTAATTACATAGCACCTGAAGAAATAGAAGGATCCTTTGTAGTTTAAACAAAACTAGTTTAGATGGAACTTCATAATCGTTACACACTGAACAAGGGGTTCGAGTCGATATTGGCAAGTTGTAATTGAAGTTTGATAGATTAAGCACTAGGTAATGCTTGGGATATAAAGTGGCTGAACAGACGTGTTTATTTGCGATGGGCTAATTCTGTGTCTGGACTGCTCTCACAGTGGTCCTGCCTGGTGATGGGTCAGGGCTGTGTAGCAGTCTTGCGCTCTCTTCCCTGTGAAATCAGATTCATTCCCAGACAGGATGGAGAATTCCTGTGGCAGAACCAAGTTGCCTGATGTCCTGGATGTTGGGCTCTTAGAAGGTCTGTCATCAGTTTTGACTCTGAGGGAGTATCTCACCATGCTTGGCCCCTAGGTAGGGATGTGGTGTTCTACATGAGGGCATGTGGTCGGGGGTCTTGGATGCTCATGGTGTTGGCAGGAAGGTGGTAGTCAGGGTCAAGGCAGGGCGTCTTTTTTTGTGCCCCTTTTCTTCTGTCTGTCACTGAGCCTCTGTTTCACCTGCCCTGTGATTTCTGTTCTGCAGCCCTTGTATTTTCACACGTCCTTAAACCACCCTAATATCGTGGCGGTGGTAGAAGTGGTCACAGAAGGCCAGAAACGAGATGGGACCCTCCAAAGGTTGTCCTGCGGGTTTGGAATTCTTCGGATCTTTAGCAACAAGCCCGAATCTCCTGCCTCTGCTTCCCAGGACAAACGGTATTGATCTCATTTTCTTACATCTGTGGGGGCTTCCAGAAGCTTTCTAGGGGAATTCAACGGCTCATCGTTTATGCCACGAGATTGTTTTTGCTTTGGGTTATAACTGGATTTGTCTTTTTTTAAGTAAACCAAGAATTTGCTCTGTATGCTAGAGTGGGGACTGACTCTTGGGTGTGGGCATTGGGTTTTGATGTAGGACTTGACATGGGATCAAGTCTGGACTGAGTCTGTACGGTTTTTGGCTAGTTATTTAAACTCTTGGACTCTGAATTCACTCATCTGTGAGTCAGGAATAAGGATAAGCAGTGCCTATCTCATAAGTGTTGCTTGTGTGTTCAGTAATATTATTTTCACAAGCAGGCCCCATATGTAGTAAGCATTTACCTAATAGGTATTGGTTGAGCATCTGCTATGAGCCAGGCATACAAAGATGTATGAGATAACATGTAGTGATTTCGGCCAGTGCTGGCATTTATGTTATTGTTTCAGATTAGGATTTCTCATCTTTGGCAGTATTGACGTTTTGAACTGGCTAACCATTTGATGTGAGGGGCAGCATCCCTGGCCTCTTCCTATAGAAGCCAGCACTATAGTTCTGTATTGTAACAATCAGAACTGTCTGTAGACATTGTCCAATGTCCCCAAGTACAGTCCTGTATCGTAACAATCAGAAATTTCTCTAGACATTGTTCAATGTCCCCAAGTACAGTCCTACAACATAACAATCAGAAATGTCTCTAGACATTGTCCAATGTCCCCAAGTAGGCATAATCACCCCTTTTGAGCTACTGGGCGAGTGACTATGGATATGATTGTGTTAAACAGCCCCTCTACCCCCAGGGATACCTGGGAAAACCCTCCCGTCCTTTTTCTTGTTCATTCTGATAAAGGTTCAGGAGTCTGCTGAGGGCAAAATGTCCTAGAGAGAGCCAGACGAGCCCAGGTTGAGAGCGACTGCTCTCGGTACGCCCTCAGGGAAATACCTCGAATATTATCTTCCTTGGGACATTTCCAAGTCGTCTGTTTCCCTCGGTGGTGCTCCCAGCTCCTGGTTCTGGAGATGCGTGTGCAGGCGCCCTGGGTGGCCTCTATTTCCTGCATTTAGATAGCTCTCACGGCCGTGGTGGTGGTTGGGGGTGCCCCGCATACTTTTCTTGTGAGAACAAGTCCAGCTGAGTGAACACAGGACACAGAAGGCTGATGTGTGTTTACGGGTCTTGTTTTCCAGGTTGAGGTTGTATCACGGCACCCCTAGAGCCCTCCTGCACCCGCTGCTCCAGGACCCCATAGAACGTAAGAGCAGACCTGGCCTGACCAGGAGCCTGTGGTACTTGTTGTTTTCACAGCTTTGCTGAGTATTATCCACCTTTAGGTCTGTCTTGTCACCACTCAGCGTAAACCATGAGCAGCTGAGCTTGTTCCTCTAGCCGGCTTGGGCAGAGTGTATTCTGGGCCTAGAGTTTTGGTTTGAAGAACTGAGGGGCAGTCATCAGGGAGAGAGCCTTACTCTGTGAGGGGGAACATGGGGCACTGGGAGGTGGTGGAGTAGTAGCTGTCCGTCACAGGCCCTAGCTGCCAGAGTGAGGCCTGGACTCTGAAGTGTGTTGTGACCTCCCGTCCAGCTTGGCGTTCCCAGCTCCCATCGCCTCTGGGCTTCTGTGGGGCCCAGCGCTGAGAGATGACTACAGACTTAGGAGATGGCTTCCTGGATGTGCAGGTACCTCATCGTTGGGCCCCACAGAAGCCAGATGCCATGCCCACTAAGACCCTGTGCTGAGGTGGACTCTGCAGCTTTTGTGTGAGGTACCTAGCACAGCAAAATGCATTCCCATTAGTGAGAAAGTGACTGATGTAGTTTGAAATCAATAGATAGAGCTGGGGAGAGACCCGCCCCACAGACCTCACTGGAAGAGAAGGAGATGTAGGGTGGAGTGGGAGCCAGTGCCAACTGCTTGGCGGGCGTGGGGTACATTCATTTACCCACAGTCATCATACATTGATTATGAGGCCACCAACAGACAAGAAGAAGTGAGCATTTCAGTTAATGATTAAAATCAAAAGCCAGCCCAAACCCACTGCCGTCGAGTCCATTCTGACTTATAACAACCCTGTGTACAGGGTTATAGGGTTTTGGAGACTAAATCTTTATGGGAGCAGACAGCCTTGTCTTTCTCCTGCAGAGAAGATGATGGGTTTGAATTGCCAACCTTGTGATTAGCAGTCCAGTGCTTATCTTATGAAAAGAAAAGAAAACTGACCATTAGGTGAGAGTCCCTCGGGGCATGGGAGCTACTTGAGCAGGTGAGCTTGTGCTCTGAAGGACATTACAGTGGAGATTTTAATGAGGAAGCTGAGCCAGGCAGGTAGACTCCAGGCACATAGGCGGCCAGTGCAAAGACCCTGGATGAAACCTTGGCCTCAGCAGAGCATGTCAGCTCAAAGGAAGTCTGGCCTCTGGGCACAGGTGGTTTATAATGTGGCTAATGCGTGGTCACTGAGGAAATGACCTGTCCTCTCGCCTGTCCCTGAGTTAGCATCTTAGGGATGAGGAGAACGGGAGAGATTGTGTTATGTTGGGTTAAAAACAAATGTTTATTTCATTGCAGTGTTACCAGAGAAAATTATTCAGGATTCATTTTTTTTTCCTTTCCTTTTAGGCTGCAATAACAGAGCATTTCCCTCTCTTTCTAGAATAACATATTTTCTGTTGGTGATGTTTCTGTAAGATTCTCAGCTTGTTGGCTTCAGCTCTTACATAATGTGCCTTCTGCCCAGAGAACAAGCACCTGACCCTCCTGGAGAGCTGCAGCCTGCAGTACACCTTGAGGCCACACCCGGCCCTGGAGCCCGCACTCCACCTCCTCCCCGAGAACCTCCTAGTGTCCGGCTTGCAGAACATCCCAGGCCTGCTGCCAGCGCATGGAGAAGTGGGTAAGGGTTTCATCGTTTCTCTCCGTCAAGCTTCACAGTCATTGGGCCAGGTTGGGTGGGCGTGGGCTTGCATGGTAAAGGTGCCCACTGTCACTCAGCAGTGTCACCCAGCATGGTGACAAGTGGGGTAGGGTAGCAAGGGTGACACTGACCTTGGGTTTAATTTCTTCCTGAATAGTGTCTCACCTCCCTCGAGCTTCTAGTTCACATCTTTATGACTGTAGCTAGGAAAGCCGTGCTACTTGGTCCTAGCCTTACTTGTACCAGGAAAGTGGTTATTTCAGAGAATGGAAGTCCTGTGGAGGCAGGAGGCTCTGTTGCAGTGTGGGTTCTAGACACAGATGCTCCAAGGCTAGGAGTGGTCCCCTGACGGGCCAGGAGACCACTGTCGGAGTCGGGGACGAGCCTCAGTACCGGGGCTGGGTCCCCTGGCAGGCACTGTAGGAAGCTGTCCTGAGAAATCCAGAAGGGACCACAGTGCCCCTGCCCCACCTGCCTCATGCTGGGGCTCCCTGCTCAGCTCACAGAGGAACAGAGTTTGGTGACTGGGAATGCGAGCACCCATGAGCTGCTTGTTTGGTTCTGAGTGGGGTGCTTGTGTCCATGGTGGATGTCCTGGATGGCCCCTGGTCGCCAGTGGAGTGCTGACAAGAGAGGACATGTGACAAGTTTCTCAGCAGCAGGAACAAGCCAGGGATTCCAAGTGACTCCCACCACAGCCTGAGAGTCTTACATGTGTCCTCCCCAGTCTGCTTGTAGGAAATCACAGCACCCTTGCTCATTAGAATGTGTTCTCTCGAAATGAAGGAAGGGGCAGAGATGCAGAGCATGGGCACTACTATGGACAGGAGGGTGAAGAGACCGTGGGAACCCGGGCCCGGGCCCCGCCAGTCAGGGAAAGGCTGTGAGCCCGCTGTGATTGCTGCCTTCATTCAAACCTAGACACAGACCCACATTAGAGTCAGCGTACGTGAGTCTGATTTAGAGTGTTCCTGGGGCAGGCCGTAGATCTGTCACTGTGGCTTGCTGACGAGTGTCAGTAGGAATGGCAGATCAAACAAAAATACCTGAAGGTTAGCGTGTGCTTGCTGGTGCTGTCTTACTGTGACGGTGAGGGATGATTCGAGGCCCGCGTTTCATCCTTAGAATCTAACATTGGCACACAGTGTGAAGGGCTTGTGAAGGACTGAATGAAAGGAAGACGCCTGAGCAGGGTACATTCAGCGCCTGATCCTCACAGTTTTTGTTCTAGAAGAGCCACGAGCTCTGTTACTTCCTGTCTTCCCTTCTATGTGGAGTGGCTATCAGTCACTGAGGCACTTAGCGAATGCACACAGTGAAGTCCCCCAAACACAGCAAGATACATGCCGTTGTTGAACAGCTAACCACCAGGGACCAGGGGAACGGGTCTGAGCAGGCACTGCCTTGCGGAGGTTGTGCTGACTCTTCTGAGATGAACGGCATGGGCCTGGCCGAGGAGCAGGGATGGAGGCACATTTTCACATCCTCTCCCTTGGTGACCATTCCAGAAAGAAAGCCGTTTTGCTCAGCACTCCCCAACGCGCAGGATGCCACAGTTGAAATACGGCTCGCAGAGTGTGGGCTTCATGTCGGCTTCTGACAGTTATCATCTCGGTTATAAATCCTGCCTCTGAACTTGAGGGCTTTTGTGGGTCACTCTTGGAAAAGAGTTTCTTTACTGGATAATCTTTTATTGCCCTGAAAGCGCCAGCTCAGGGCCCGTGGCTGCTTCACTGCTCTAGTTGCAGAGGGCTTGGCTTTATTTTGGTGTCATGTTGGGAGCCAGCTAGTTGTTCACTTGTAAAACATCACAACAGTGGAGGGTAGAATTTTTAAAATCGAGTTGTTTTTCCACACCGAGAGCATTGTAGTCTCACACGCAGTTGTAGTAAACATACAGAGAGGTCTTGTGGGCCTTTTGCCTGGTTTTCCCACTGGTGACCTTTTGCACAACTCGATATCAGTTGTTGTATGAACCCAGTCTGTTGGCATTCGTACAATCCGCCGACCTCGTTTTGATTACCCCAGTTTGCCTGAGCTCATTTATGTGAGCACTGAATTGTTAGGAATCTTTCTCAGTGTCAGAACTACCAGAAATGACTGTGTAGCACCTGTCATTCATCAGAAGAAAGGCAGGCTTTGTTCCTTTAGCAGGCTTTCTAGAGGATGCCCTGAGAATAGCTCCAGTTTAGCAAATGCTCCCAACTCTGCCACGGCACTTGTCTGCTCTAGGATGGCTCTCCGGCTAGTGCCCTTGTCATGTCTGCTACTCTTGATCTGGGTCTGCTTTTTCACCTTGTAAACAGCAAGGTGAAAAGTGTAATTTTCGCTGTGATTTCATCAGCATTGAGTTTTATCTATTTTTATTTTTTTAGCTTTGGACTGACTTTTTTTGTTTTTGTTAGATGTTTTATTGTGAATTATGTGATAGTTTACATGGGAGAACATTAGTTTTACATTCATCCTATCGTATGTCGTTTCATTGCCATGGTTACAATCCCCTCCATGCATCATCAACCAACCAAAGGGTATACACTACAAGCCTGCCCCCCAGTCGTCAGCACACAGTCCCTCTCCCTCCCTGCCATCGTCAGCACACAGTCCCTCTCTGGTCCTAAAGTCCCCAGCTGCTCCATCTCTCCACATCATCATCTCTGCCTCCATCTCAGGCATCACTGCTTCTCTGGGTAGCGTCCCGCTCTCCGCTCTTCTCCCTTGATGGTCCCAGGGACCTCTGCTCCTAGACTGAAAAGTTAATCACTCCTCTCCTTGCTACAAAACGTCTACCTTTACATTTCCAACCCTCACAAGCAGTCATAACAATTATTCACTATTGTATCACAAGAGACCTATCCGCATTTCCTTTCATTCACCCCACCTAGACAGATTGGATACTACTCAGTGGAGATTTTACCTTCCTCCATGCCCTCTGGATCTAGGTTCCCTCTTGAAAGCTTGTAAGCCAGTCACTTCTTGCCTTTGAAGCCTCCCCATTTTGGGTAGCCAATGTCCAAGTTGCCCATTCCTGTCTACTCTGTGTATGGAGGGGGTGGGAATGATCCTTGCTGTAAAGATTTGTTCCCCCTTTTGAGCTACTGCAGCTTTGGATTGACTTTTAAAATTTGACACCTACCCACTGCCATCAAATTAATTTCAACTCATAGTGATCCTGCATAGGGTTTCTGTTATGGGAGCAGAAAACCTCATCTTTCTCCCACAGAACAGCTGGTGGGTTTGAATTGCTGACCTTACGGTTAGTAGGCCAGTGCTTATCCTACAGTGCCACCAGTGCTCCTAAATATAAGTCCTGCTCTTGATGCTGCTGTATGCCATCAATTCAGTTCTGACTCATAGAGACCTTGTATAGGTCCCAAGGTCACTTCCAGGCCGGAATCCTCTGACCCCACCCCAACTCTGTGAGCATGTTGAAGAGCTCTGTGAGTACAATCACCAAGACAGGCCCCAAGGAAGGTAGCAGGACATCTGCAGGAGAGCTAAGTGTCCACCATTTTGACGCATTCTTGGGGACCATGCAAGAAAACTTACAAGTATTTTATTATCTCTTGTGATTGCTTTGTTTGAAGTGAGAACAACAAATCTTTTGTTATACTGAGGACTACAGACCTAGAGAGAAAATATATCAATTAGACACGGAATTGTATAATCTATATATTGAAAGGATAGTAATTGCGTCTGTTGGGTGGGTGAGGGGAGGAGTTAGGTTCCTTTCAGAGAAATTGAGACTGTTCATTTTGTTCATATTAATAATAATATATATATATGTTGTTGTTGTTAAGTGCCATCGAGTCGGGTCCGACCCATAGCGACCCTGTACAGGGTTTCCGAGGGTGTAAATCTTTACGGGAGTAGAAAGCCTCATCTTTCTCCCGCGGAGCGGCTGGTAGTTTCGAACCGCTGACCTTAAGGTTCGCAGCCCGATTCGTAACCACTACGCTACCAGAGCTCCTTAAAAGACTATAAATCTCTATGGTTGCAGAAAGCCTCATCTTCCTCCCTTGGAGTGGCTAGTAGATTCAAACTGCTGACTTGGTGGTTAGCAGCCCTATGTATAACCCTTATGCTACCAGGGGTCCTTAAATATAAGACCTTGTTATTGTTGTTAGGTGCCATCAAGTCGGTACCGATTCATAGAATTGAATGAATTCATAGCAACAGAATGAAGTAATGCTCTGCCCTGCATCAAGCTCACAATTTCCGCTATGAGCAGCAGGAGCCCACTGCTGCTGCCACCGTGTCAGTCCATCTTGTTGGGGATCTTCTTCTTTGTCTTTGACCCTCCACTTTGCCAAACATGATATCCTTCTCCAGGGACTGGTCCCATCTGATTATATGACTGAAGTATGAGAGACTAAATATGGCCATTCTGGCTTCCCAGGAACATTCTGGCTGTACTTCTTCCAACACAGATTTGTTTGTTCTTCTGGCAGTCCATGGTACTTTTAATATTCTCCTCCAACAGCATGACTCAGATGCATCAGTTCTTCTACGATCTTCCTTATTCACGGTCCAACTTTCACATACATATGAGGTTATTGAAAATATCATGGCTTGGGTCAGTCACATCTTAGTTCTCAGAATGACATCTTTTCACTTGAGCACTTCAAAGAGTTCTTGTGCAGCACATTTGCTCAATGTAATGCGTTGTTTGGTTTCTTGACTGCTGCTTCCATGAGTGTTGATGGTTGATCCACACACAATAAAGTCTTTAACAACTTCAATCTTTTCTCCATTTATATGGATACTATTTATTGGTCCAATAGTGAGGAGTTTTGTTTTCTTTACATTAAGGTGCAACCCATACTAAAGGCTGTGGTCTTTGATCTTCATCTATAAGTATATTAAGTCCCCTTTGCTTTTCAGCAAGCAAGTTTGTATCATCTGCATATTGCAGGATGTTAATGAATCTTCCTTCAATCCTGATGCCACATTTTTCTTCATATAACCCAGCTTCTTGGATTATTTGCTCAGCATACAGGCTGAATTAATATGGTGAAAGAATACAACCCTGTCGCACACCTTCCCTAATTTTAAACCATGTTCGGATTATTAGTGGGTGTTTACAGATGTTTCTTTTGATTTTGAGTTGTGTTCCAACAAAGAAAGGTCCTGAGGGCTTTACTCCATTCACGTCATCATGGTCAACTCTACTTTGAGAAGGCAGCTCTTCCCCAGTTGCATTTTGAGCGCCTTCCAAACTTAGGGGCTCATTTTCCAGCACTATATCTGACAGTGTTCTCTGGTATTCATAAGGTTTTCAGTGACTAAATCTTTGGAAGTAGTTCATCTCTCATTCTTCCTAGTCTATCTTCGACTGGAAGCTCATCTGAAACCTGTCCACCGTGGTGACCCTGCTGGTATTTAATACCCGAGGCATAGATTCCAGAATCACATCAACATACAAGCCACCACAGTACGACAAACTGACAGGAGTGATGGATTTTCCTAGATTCATACTTTGTACATTCCATGTTACATATTAATGGATGTTTATAGCTGTTTCTTTTCATTTTTAGTTGTGCCCCAAAAGCAAATGAAGGTCCCAAAGGCTTTACTCCATTCACATCATCAAGGTCAACTTTACTTCGAGGAGGCAGCTTTTCCCCAGTTGTATTTTGAGTGACCTCCAACCTGCAGGACTCATCTTCCAGCACTGTATCTGACCATATTCTGGTGCTCTTCATATTTTTGTGTTCAAAATTCTGGTGCTATCTGACAGTGTTCCTCTGCTACTCATAGAATTTTTTAGTGACCAAAATGTCTCCTCCTTCTTTGTTTGTCTATGTCTGGAAGCTGAAACCTGTCTATGGGTGACCCTGCTGGTCACCACACCACGCAAGCCACCACAGTGCAACAAACTGACAGACGAGTGGTGGAAATATAAGAACTAGTGCCTAAATATTGAAATAATCACAGAAACTCAGGGAGAGTCTGAGATAGGGGTCAGTACTGGAAAGATGAAGATGGGGTTTAGTGGTCATTGAGGAACCGTTGCCTCTGCTGTCTTCCTTCTGTAGGTGACATTGTTCCAGGGCTTTGGAGAACAAAGGGCTGACTTCCTTACCCTGTCCCCTGTCTGCTTTCCCCCCAGGAACTTACTGTCAGGGGTGGGGCCTCTGATTGTTGTTGTTGTTGTTAAGTGCCGTCGAGTCCGACCCATAGCGACCCTGTATAGGGTTTCCAAGGAGCAGCTGGTGAGCTTGAACCACCGACCTTGCAGTTAAAACAACTTTGCATTCTGACGCATTAGCCCACAGCGCCACACCAGGACTCTAGGTCCTCTGATTAGGGTCTTGTTTTAGGGCCTTGTTTTTGTGGGGCCCCATCCTAAGCAATGCTTTGTTTGGATGTTGCCCTAATAGGAAGTGGACTTCAAAAAGTGTGTGGGATAATGGGAGTGAAAAGACAGTGGAAGTTTTCCATGAACTTTCTGAAGCCCCTCATGCACTCAGGTATTCCTTCTGTGTGAGTCTTGAGTGCCTCAAGGTAACCGTGAATCAAACAAGAGATAAGGTAGTTGGCGAGTCTTCTTGCTAGAGGAATGTAAGTGATAAACCAAACTGAAGGGGAACAGATGTCACTTTGCATTTTGTAACCTGTATTCTTTGAATTGCTGGGAATTATAAAATTTGTTCTTGGAGGAGGTTTAGGGTAGAATTTGGACTGTAAATAAAATGTGCTTTTGTTTCATCAGTTTAGCTGTTGGGCTGAAGCGAGGTGGGCTTTAATTTAGCGCCTGGCTGGGTGTGTACCCACGCCGCCTCCCTCAGCAGGCCCCTCGACTTCCATCAAGCCCTCTGGACTCCCAGCTGCCATCTACCTCCAGGGTAATTTCTCATTCCTTCAGGTGATGCCCTTCGCAAACCTCGCCTTCAGAAGTCTGTCACCTGGTACTTGGATGATTTGTTCTTCAACCTGTACCCTTCCCTGGAGAAATTTGAGGAAGAGCTTCTGGAACACCTCACTAGTGATCGCTTCCAGGAGGTACTGCCTGCATCATGGGATTTTTTTACAAATTCTGAGTAGTGAAGGTGCACACACAGAAGAGGTGGGATGCCCCCCGGCACCTAGTCCCTGGGCACCTGTGACCTCTGATACCTAGCTCTGCTTTTCCCTCATTTGGTGGCTGAAGGGACCCTTTTCAGTGCCCGGTTTGCTATTGAAGTGTCATTGTTGTTGTTGATCAGTGCCATCAGCTCCCTGTCAACTCACAGCAATCCTGTCCAGGGTTGCCAAGGAGTGGAGTGGCTGGTAGGTTTGAACCACTGACGGCTGTCCTGTCTTTATCCCAGTGCCACACTAGGGTTCCAGAGTTGTTATTAGAAGGCTGGAGTCCCTGAGCAGTACACATGATTAGGGCATGGACCTGCTGTTGATTGAAAGGTTGGTGGTTCAAGTCTACCCAGAGGCTCTTCAGGAGAATGGTCTGGCGATCTGCTTTTGAAACATCAGCTATTGAGAACCCTGTGGAGCCCAGTTCTGCTCTGACACAGGTGGGGTCAGTACTTGGCTATCCACCGTCATCACCTTTGGCAGAGACGAAGGACGCTTGGATCCTTCCCCTGGTCCAGACTCATCTTCATTTAGCTTGAAGCAATCCTCATTTAAGGTACCTGAAGTCACCCATGAATCTAGGGGTGACATAAAGTGGTTCACAGTCATAAATGACATTTTGAGGGTATTTGGCTCTTTTTAAGGAGGAGACTAGAAGACTCAGTCATTTAATCTTATAAAGGAAGTTTTCTGAGAAGTGCTCCCTCTGACTGTTAGGTTTTGCCATTAGCTGTGTGGAGTGTTCCTCCATGGGGCATGTGGTTATGCCTGACTGCTAACCTAAAGGCTGGCTGGTCAGACCCTCCCAGGGGTCTATTTCCATAAAGATCACAGGACAGAAAACGCTGTGGAGCAGTTCTGTTCTGCAGCACTTGGGGTTGCTTTCAGTTGGAGTCAACTCAACAGCCGTGGGTTTTTGTCTGTCTTGACCCCGTGACTCATCTACCGGAAACAGATCAAGGTGAACACTTTCTACATGCCCTCCCTTCTGCCCGAGCCGCCTGCTCTGTTCTTTTCTCTCCGTCCACTCACTGGTCCTCAGATTGTAGTCTGGAAAGCACCCCGTTAGGGAGTTGGGTAAGGTTACTACTGGGGCTCTTTCTACTTCTAATCAGGATTCTCTTGGTCTTTCTGGGTTGAACTTCCTTGAGGGTTTGGGGGACTTCTTGTTCTGTTTTCTTCCCAAGGCAATATCTGGAAAATCAGGTCTGATAAAGTGTCACAGATGTTGCTAGAGCAGTCTGTCCAGATGGCTCTTGCGTTCCTGACAGATATGGGGACTGAAGTGTGAGGTGTTCTGCACACTGTCCACATGCTGCTCTGGGCCATGAGCACTCGAGTCTTTGCTTGCTCCATTCCTGATGGGACAACGGAGAGACTTGGGCAGCCCTGTGTGTCATCTCAGCTGCCAAGAAAGGGCCACCCCAGGGATGAGGATGACACCTTGTCCACCACCCAGTACAGGGGTGGGGCTTGCCCTAGTGACTCATGAAACCCACAGAAAGGATCCTCACCTAAAGAGAGTGAGAGACCAGTGTAGGCCACATCCTTCATGTCACCTTGCTCTTATACTCATGTTACTGAGCAATAGACCTACCGGAAAATACATCTGGTTTCATGAATAAGAAGGGAAGAGTGCCCTGTCACCAGGACCCTCCTGGGTCTCTTCCTGTCTGCTCTGGCCTTCTGCCCTGTCCTGTCCACCTCCCTACCCACTAGGCTTTCACTGTAATCACTTTTTGCTCTTCTTTGTGGCTTTACTACGTTAGTATGTTTGTTTATTCATCCCTAAGCAATACAGGCTTGCCTGATTCTGACCTTTATTTAAATGAAAAATTCTTTTTTAAACATCTTGTTTCTTTTGCTCAATATTGCATTTGTGGATTCATCTTTATTTTTAAAACTGTTTATTGTGAACTGAGTGAAGGTTTCCAGAGCATCTCGTCAGACCCACACTCAACAAGTCATACACTTAGTTTCATTACAATGACTGCAGTCCTCTCCAGGTACCATTGTTGTTGTTGTTGTTAAGTGCCGTCCAGTCCAGTCAGTTCTGACTCGTAATAATTCTGTGGGCAGCAGGATGGACCACTGACCAGTCCTGAGTCATCCTCATGGTTGAGCCCATGGTTGCTGCCATTATCCCTCCACTTTTCCAAGCATGATGTCCTTCTCAAGGGACTAGTCCCTCCTGATAATATGTCTAAAGTATGAGAGACGAAGTTTGGCCATCCTGACTTCTAAGGAGCACTCTGACTGCACCTCCTCCAACATAGATTGGTTTGTTCTTCTGGCAGTCTGTGGTACTTTCAGTGTTCTCCTCCAACACCAAAAGCCAAACGCACTGATTCGTCTGCAGTCTTCCTTATTCATCGTCCAGCGTGGTGTGCATATGAGATGATTGAAACTATCCTTGGGTCAATGCACAGTAGTCCTCAAAGTGACATCTTTGCTTTTGCCCAGCGCAGCTGGTTGTTTGATTTCTTGACTGTGTGCATGTGCGTGTGTGTGCGGCTTTCATTATTTGTGCTCATTTAGTATTGGAGTGAGGATGGGCGATCCCTGGACTCTGTGCCATTGGTTTCAAGACGTGCACGGTTTGGTTGGGGCCAGTGTCCTTGTCCCTCTGCACTGTGTTTGGCCCACTTTGCTGTCATAGATAGTGTATTTGTGGCCTCTTGAGTATTTTTACGACCCAGTTACCCAGTTCCCCCAGGAAGGTGGCTCTTCCCTCCTGCTGCCTGCAGTGCTGTAGCCCTCGGCCCAGTGCTCTGCTCTGCTTGCCTCACCCTCTGGATCTCCCAGCACAGTCTCTCCCTGAGGCACATGGTGCTTCTATACTGGCGGCTTGTCTCCCTCTATTGAATGCTGGCTCTGTGAGGACAGGGACATTATCTGTTTTGCCCCTCACATTCCCCCTCCACTTGTTCAGAGAGCAGTGTTTGGCACAAACTAGTGCCCTTTTGCCTTCAGTTCACTTTGACTGAGGTGACCCCAGGTGTGTCAGAGAACTGTGCTCTGGAGGGCTTTCACTGGCTGGATTTTTGGAAGTACGCCACTGGGCCTTTCTTCCCAGGTGCCCCTGGGTGAACTTGAACTGCCAACGTTTTGGTTAGCAGCTGAGCTCGGTAACCATTTTCACTACTCAGGGACTCCGTTTGGCTCACATTGTTGTTATTGTTGTTGTTAAATGCCATCAAATCAGTTCTGACTCATAGCAACTCTGTATAGAATTTCTGAGAAGCGGCTGGTGAGTTTGAACTGCCGACCTTGAGGTTCATCCTACTGCGCCACACATAGCAGGTGTTTAGTATTTACTTGTTGTGTGAATAAATGATCCAATCAGCTGGTACCCATTCTAGTTGTCTACGTAGTTAGTCAATTCTCAGTTACTTCTCTCTATATAAATCTGAGATGGACTTTTTTGTTGTTGTTGTTCCTGTCTACCCGTTTTTTAAATGTAGCTCCACATGATAGGGTCTTACATGAAACGCAAACACAATGCAGAGAGGAGAAAATGGAAACGGGTTTTCTTGGTATGGTTCCTGCTGCTTTATCGTTCCCACCAGATTGTGTGAGGGGAGAGATGCTTTAAGACTGTCATTGTCGAATTTTATCCATTCCCATAAAATCATTTTATTATGTATTTTTCCTGTCTTTGGATCCTTGTTCCTAACCCATGGGCAGATCCTTTGTTATCCCATACTTGTAGTTTCCTTATCCAGATACTATTAAACTGTATTTAGGTTTGTTCAGGTTGATTAATGGATGGTAAAGAAAACTTGAAAATGCAAGGATCCTTTAGCAAAGATCCCATCGTTTAATAAACAGTAATGGCCTGGGGGAGGGCTATTCTTGTCTGTTTGCTAGAGTGCCTGTATGTTTTTTGAGAAGATGAAATACTTTAATATTTGGTGATCACTTAGGGGCAAGTTCCATTTTTATTGGTTTATGAATTACTGCTTAAATACGCTTCCCCCTTCCCCCCCCTTGCATGCCCTTTGGCCCCAGGCCTCCAGTCTGAGTACAGGAGGGGGTAGACCTTGAACAGCCTTTAAGGAGGCTCTTCGTTCTTGTCCCTCGACCCAGTGGGGCCTTGGGCTGCGAGACCCTGGCTCCCCTGTTTACATCCTCAGTGCATCTGAGAGCTGTCAGCACCACCATGGAACTGGAGAAGGAGGAGTGCACAGTCAGGCATCCGGGGTCTTCAGGGAAAACCATTCCATTGAGGAGATCAGTCTTATGTCCCTAACCCAAACCCACCTCCGTCTGGTTGACTTTGATTCAGAAACCTTCAACATTGCCTCACAGGGCTTCTGACACTACAGATCTTTACAAGAGCAAGACAGCCTCATCTTTCTCACCCAAGGAGCAGCTGGTGGTGGGTTTGAACTGCCAAAACCTAGTGTTTAACTCACTAAGCCACCAGGGCTCCTTAGGCTTGTATCAGAGATCCCCAAACTCATGGAAAACGCACCACGGGCCACCAGTACCTTTGGCGTGGTTTCCCTGTCCTCCCTCGGTTGGGTGTGTGAACCAAATGTCTATAACGTCGGGATATGTCTGTAACGTCTCCTACAGCCTCTCCTCTCTGGGGACTCTGTTGGGGTGCCCTTCTGCCCTGTCAGGGACTCACCCTGGCCCTCACGTGCCGTTCCAGGGCAGCGGTCCTGGGGACAGCAGCCTGGAGATTCAGGAGCGGCGCCTGTGTGTGGGTGTGCACAATGGGCTGACCTTCGTGCAGAGGCCCCAGGTTGTTGTCCTGGTACCTGAGATGGAGGTGGCCCTGACCCGCTCGGCCAGCTTCAGCCGCAAAGTTAGCTCTTCCTCCAAGAGCAGGTATTGACATGGGGATGGAGCCCCCACCATGGGGAGTGGGAGGTTGGGATGCGGGGAGGGGTCACATCGCAGTGAGTAAGTCATGTACAAAGTTCACTCTAAGAACTTCAGGCTTTACTTCAGGCATAGAGGCATGGACTGACCATGTGGGGTCTCCCCGGCAGTCTGTGTCCTTCTGCCCAGTTCACAGTTAGGAACACATATCAGGGTTGTAAGGATGCAGAGAAAGTCACATGTGTGCTGTGACAGTTTTGCAGTTACATCCCAGAAGCTCATAGCACGTGGCTGCTGAGAGTCTATAGAGGCCCAGGCGTGGTCTCTTCCTGAATGAAACCCAGTGCCCCCACATCAGATGTCACTCAGATCCCATGTTACAGACAGCTTGTTGCTCTCTCTGGTGGCTAGGAAGGCCAGTCCTGGAATGGGACTCTCCTTCTCTGATGCCATCCCTGGAGGCTCGGACTTACTATGCATCCACTCTGGGCATTCAGAACGAGTGATGATGTGACCCTCCAGAAAACACTGCTTTAGGGGAGCATTTGGCAGCGTTGCACCATTGGGGTGTGTGTGAAGGTGGTGTCTGTCCCCTTAGTCCTCTGTCGCAGGGTGGGGTGGGTGCAGGGCACAGTGGGGTGTCCCCTTAGTCCTCTGTCACAGGGTGGGGTGCAGGGTGGGCGTAGGCACAGTGGAGTGTCCCCTTAGCCCTCTGTCACAGGTGGGGTGGG